ACCCCCCCCCCCCCCCCCAGTCTGCCACTGACTGTGAGGTGTGTGGGGGTGGGGGCTGGGTGCTTTCCTTCCATCTCAGCTTTGGTTCAAGATTAAACACTGTTGCTGTTATCCAGGCCTCACTTGCAGCCAGGAGACCAAGTGCAAAGGCATCTACCAGTAAAAGAGGTTGGGGAATGGTAGGAGAGATCCTTGCCCGGTGGACCCTTTCTAGGAGCTTGGGGCTTGCGGGGGCTTGGGGGTCATGCATTTGTGTTTTCAGACATCATATCCCTCTTCCCCCATCCCAGAACTAAGCCCTTCCCCAAGCAAGGAAAAATTTGCACAGGCGGTTTTGAAAACTTGTTGCCAAGGAGGAAGTGCCAGATTATGGGGGCGGGGGCTCTCAGGGACTGGTTGAGAGGGGACTTGGCTCATGTTTGGTTTCTCCCTGGTATTTAGCTGGTTCTGTTAGGGAGAGGGGAGTCTAGAGAAGTCTGCCTTGGGTGAGATACTCTGGGTTGAGGAACCCATTTAGGAGGTAAATGGGATTTTACAAGCTAAAATTAGTGACAAGAGGCAATAAGGATGCATTTCAGGGGTCAGCGTGAAGCAGGCTGCACACATAAAAAAATTTGCCATACGGGCCAGGATGTTGTGGTTTCTTATTCACAGGGCCAAAATAAACCCAGGTGGCTGGTGTAGGGGAGAAAAAGAAGGTGCTAAGAGAGGCGGCTCCTTTAGAGAGACCTGGCATATCTGATTTGGATGGAGGTGGCTGTACTTTGCGGGTACCATGCTTTGGCCTGGTATTCTCAGTCAGTAACCAGTTCTTTCTCTTGCCCCCTCAGGGTAACAAGATGCTCAACTACAGTACTCCTAGTGCAGGGGGCTGCCTGCTGGACAGGAAGGCAGTGGGCACCCCTGCTGGTGGGGGCTTCCCTCGGAGGCACTCCGTCACTCTGCCCAGCTCCAAGTTCCATCAGAACCAGCTTCTCAGCAGCCTGAAGGGTGAGCCGGCCCCATCCCTGAGCTCTCGAGACAGCCGTTTCCGAGACCGCTCTTTCTCTGAAGGGGGCGAGAGGCTGCTGTCCACCCAGAAACAGCCTGGGAGTGGCCAGGTCAACTCCAGCCGCTACAAAACGGAGCTGTGCCGTCCCTTCGAAGAGAACGGTGCCTGTAAGTACGGGGACAAGTGTCAGTTCGCCCACGGCATCCACGAGCTCCGCAGCCTGACCCGCCACCCCAAGTACAAGACGGAGCTGTGCCGCACCTTCCACACCATTGGCTTTTGCCCCTATGGGCCCCGCTGCCACTTCATCCACAACGCTGAGGAGCGCCGTGCCCTAGCCGGGGCCCGGGACCTCTCCGCTGACCGTCCCCGTCTCCAGCATAGCTTTAGCTTTGCTGGGTTTCCCAGTGCCGCTGCCACCGCCGCTGCCACAGGGCTGCTGGACAGCCCCACCTCCATCACCCCACCCCCTATCCTGAGCGCCGATGACCTCCTGGGCTCACCTACCCTGCCCGATGGCACCAATAACCCCTTCGCCTTTTCCAGCCAGGAGCTGGCCAGCCTCTTTGCCCCTAGCATGGGGCTGCCTGGGGGTGGCTCGCCCACCACCTTCCTCTTCCGGCCCATGTCTGAGTCCCCTCACATGTTTGACTCTCCCCCCAGCCCTCAGGATTCTCTCTCGGACCAGGAGGGCTACCTGAGCAGCTCCAGCAGCAGCCACAGTGGCTCAGACTCCCCTACCTTGGACAACTCAAGACGCCTGCCCATTTTCAGCAGACTTTCCATCTCAGATGACTAAGCCAGGGTAGGGAGGGACCCCTTTCTTGCCTTTCACCCCTCCTTCCTTCACCCCATACCATACCCTCACCTCCTCAGCACCCTCACCTTGCCCTCAATCCTTACATTGATAAATTTAAGCTCAATCTCTTCCCCAGAACCTTTGAATGTCCCTTCTCCTCCCACCCCCCCACCCCCCTTACCATAAGGACAAGTCAATTTGTCAGTAGCTTCTTCTGGCTTGAAACCCCCTCCTTCCATTTCATAGCCCACTCACCACACATAACAAAGAGTCCCATATTTGTCAGTAGATGCCTTTTTTTGGCTTAAGCCTTAAGTGCCAAATCACAAAAGAAAAAGCAGTAACAGTTTACAGAAGCAACTTAGTGCCTTGTAATCTAACTTTGTCACTGTGACTACATTACCTCTTCAACGCCAGGGGGCACCCGTGGGCCTCCCAGAGCCTCTGCCCTTTTGGGGGGGGGGGTGACCCAGAATCAGCAGCTCCCCCAACTGGCGACACAAGTGCACCTTCCTTTCAGTCTCCCACACACTTCCTCCCTCTTCCTCATAGTTATCCCCCTCCCTCAGAGAGATGTTGCTGGACATGGGTTTTTGGGGAAACCTATTTTGACATTCAAAACCTTTTTCTTCCCAACCCGAACCCCTATTGACTAATCTTGCTTGGGTTTGTATAGATCTTCAGGAAGGAAGGTTGAACAAGTTGGACGGCGATTTTGACATAAGTGGGACTTTGTGATTTAATTTTTTTTTTAAGTGGGGAGGAAGGGGAAGCTAGATGGACTATGAGAGACTTGATTTTGGTGCTAAAGTTCCCCAATTCATATGTGACATCTTTTTAAAAATGACAAGAAAATGAGAGAAAAGCTAAAAAAAAAACAAACAAAAACATGTAAGGGGTGAGCAGTTAATGGTATTCATTCCACATACAATATCTGTGTAAAACGATTTCCTGTAGAAGTAGCTTTAATGGTTTTTGCTCTAGAATACCGTAGGTCTACCCTTAGAGAGCACTCACGCCATGCTTTTTTCCCTGGGTTTAAACTTCATGTAACTTTCAGAAATTGGAGAGCAAAAATTTTGCTTGTCACTGCACATCAATATAAAAAAGCTTATTTAACTTATCAAAACGTATTTATTGCCAAACTATGCTTTTTTTTGTTAATTTTGTTCATATTTATCGGGATGACAAATCCATAGAATATATTCTTTTATGTTAAATTATGATCTTCATATTAATCTTAAAATTTTGTGACGTGTCTTTCCTTTTTTCCACAGTTTTAATATATTATTCTTCAACAACATTTTTGTAACTTTACACTTTTTTGGTTATTTTATTTTAAAAAAATGAAAAATTAATTTAAAAAAATGCAAAAAACTGTTGGATTATTTATTTTAGAAATTCCCCCTTTTGTGTTGGACTGCAAATTGAGTTTCTTTCTCTTTAGGCCTTTTACAAGTAGGACTGAGAATGTATGTAAAAGTTCTGTGACAGTACAGAAGGAAAACCACCTTTTATGTATAGCTTCTAAAAGGGAAAAAAAGAAAAAAAAAGAAACCCTTTGACTTCCATGTGCCCATCTCAAGACATTCCAATCGCAGATTCAAGGTTCTGGATTCCAGGTTGGAGTTTTCCAATGTTAACAAACAGAACTGGCGCACAACACATAAAGATGAATGTAATTATTATTCTTCTTGCTGGTCACTACCGTCGCTTTCTATTTCTCTTTCTTTGTGTGAATTTATTTAAAAGAAACCTTTTTTGTAACGACTATTTGCAGTTTAAAAATCAATAAACCCCGTTTTTTTCAAGAAATGTTATGGTTCACTTGATATGTGGTCTTGCTTATTCTGTGGGCTTTCCTCCTGTGTAGCTCCCATTGGAGGGCAGAACCTGGTGGAGGTTCTTTGTTTTGCAAAGAAGCCTGTGCTTTCTGCCGTCCCTGTGGTGACAAGATAGCCCAGGGTAGTCTTGCTTGCCTGTGTCCAGCTCTGGGACATCCAGTTTTCCCTGCCTATGATCTTCATTTTGGGGGATGGTTGGTATGCTACTGATGGAGGAGACTTAAGCGGTTGCCCCACAGACAGGTGTGGATTAGATGCTTCAGGCTTATTGCTCCCATAGGCATCAACCAAGGTTAGGAGCCAACCTAGCCTCTTAGTGCCTCCTTGAGTGGGCATGAGGAAGCTCTGCACGCCTGGAAAGGAAACCACCAGGATGGAAAGGGGCATTCTGCACCTGAATCTGACCAGAGGGCTGTAAAGGGAAGATGGGTCTTAGCATTGATGATTAGGAAGTCAACAGTTCTCACCACTGTTCCCAGTCAACAGTCCTATTAGTTACACCTTGAATCCCATGCAAATAGGTAGTAGGGGGTCACTTTGGTTAGAAATCCTTCAGGCAAGACCAGATGACCACTGAGAAGTGATACTTGTGAAGATCTTGACACTGACTTGGGAGGATTTCTGTCTTGGGGAGGCAGAGATACTATCTGAGGCCCAGTTGCTTCTGGCTCCTCATACTTAGTAAGTTTTGGGGGTTGAGCAGAGTACCCACTTGAAGTGCACCAGCCATCTTCTAAGTCAGGTCTGCTGTAGACATTGTCCCAGACTGACATTGTATCCTGGATACTTTACCTGGCCAGATGTTACTGGGTATCAGGTATGAGGTAGAAATATAGGGACTGTCTCCTAGGGTGGGGGTTTATGATATAGGAAGGGGAAAGTTACTCCTTGAATCTGGGACCAGAGTGAACCTAGGTCTCTAATCCCTTGAGTGGGGGAATAAATAACATGGATATGGGTGGGGTGGATCTTCCTTTCTGACTGAAAGCACAGACATTTAGTCATTCACCTGGAGCTCATTCCTTACAGGCACAGAGAGCTTATGGCAGGTATCTTTCAATTCCTCCTTTCATGGTGGCATGAGTTGGGTTCAGAGGGGTCTAATCCTACCTCACAACCACCCTGAATTTTCTCCTTTGGAGTCAGATCCTAGAGTGAGATAACAAAGACATTGACTATAGGAGGCCTTGGAGGGCTGAGTTGGCTGTAAAGGCAAAGGCAAGCTTCCTGTCACCTGGGAAAGGTGGCAGTAACTAGGCCCTAACCCTATACTCCACCTGTTTCTCCATGAGGAGCTCAAATGGGCTGGGCCTTAGTTTGTCCAGGCTGGGAGCCTGTCTTCCTACCATCTATATCTTAACTGGTAGAGGAGATGAACCTGAGGTTACTTGGGGAAGGAAATACCAGAGCCCTTTTGGGCCCATTATTTTCTCAGCATGTTAGGAGAGGAAGGGGCCTCAGCAGGAACCCTGTGTACTGGGCTACCAGGACATCCAGGAAGTGTCCCACAGCTGTCAGGGGTCCCCATCTCTGAGGGTCACAGCCGAGAGAACAAGAGCTGTGCAGTGGGAGCTGAAGGTAAGACCCTCGCAAGGGGATTTGTGGCCAAAGAGACTAGCTCCTGCTTTACCAGCTAATTCCTTGGGCACAAGGCCTTCTTCCTGACCCTTTGCCCAGGACCCTGGGACTTTCTGTTTGGGGGCTTATTCAAGGTGGTCTCTGGGTAGGCAAGGCTCCCAGGGCTGCTAGCTCTATAGATGTTCCCTTGGAGTAGCTCAAACCAATGAACTATTTGGGTCACTGACCTTTCCTGACCTGATGACTCATTATCAGGAGGAGGGTAGAGGCCTCCTGAGCCTCAGTGGATCTTGGCCAGATTTACCATGGGCTTTGCCACCAATTGGATCATGAATCCATAGCACTACAAGAGACAGGGGAAAGGGGTGAGAGGAGTGGGGGGGGGTGGCTAGGGGGGCATGGCAGGAAGGAAGAGATGGTGTTGGAGCTACCAACTTGTGCTTGGGACAAGTGATCTATCTCTCATTTTTATGAGCACCATGGTGTGCGTATAGAGGTCAGAGGACAATTTGTGGGAGCCTGTTTTCTCCTTCCATTTTGTGGATCCTGGGGATCTAACAGGTCATCAGGCTTGGCAGCAAGTTCCTTTACACACTTAGCCATCCACTAGCCCAGACAACCTATCTCAATTGGTTATTGTAAAGATCAAGAGAAGACTTGATAGCAGCAGCTCTTCATAGATACCAGGCAGGATTTTAAGAACTGTGTGTGTATTAATGAAGATGCTCACAATGACCCCATGGAGGAGGTTCCATGGTGTCTTAGTTTGATTTCTGTTGCTTTGATAAAATACCCTGACAAAAAGACAACTTAGAGGAGAAAGGGTTTATTTAGCTCACAATTCCAGGTCACAGTTCCATCATAACAAGGAAGTTAAGAGAGCAGGAACTTAAAACAGCTAGTCACATCACATCTACAGTAAGGGCAGAGAAAAATAAATGCATGCATGCCTACTACTCGGCTAGTTTTTGCTAGGGAATGGTGCTACCCACTTTTAGACTGGGTCATTCCATATCAGCTCAGTCAAGACAATCCCCCACAGAAATGCCTACAGGCCAACTTGATCTACATAATCCCTCATTGAGACTCTCTTCCTAGATGATTCTAGGTTGTGTCAAGTAGACAAAATTAACATCCCCACTTTACATATGGAGGAAGTGGGGTGCAGTGCGACTCATTAATCTGTCATATAGTGAGAAAGTCTCAGGACCCGAACCCAGGCCAGCTAGCAACATCGTGGCATTTTACCACCGTGCTCTGTAGTATCATAGTGTAGCACACTGAAGCCATTGATTCTTAGTACACAGTAACTATGGATCCACCAGGGTCAGTTCCTATCTCCCTTGGCCCTTGGTAGTGATCTGCAGAAGCCTAGAGCCACCAGCTGGATTGGATGGCTCTGCACACACCTTCCCCCAGGGTCATGATCTCATGTCCCTTGAAACTCTGGATTGGCTTGTTTGGAGGAGGGTGCTGGGAGGACAGGACAGGCAATCCCCTTGGACTTTCCCCTCTCTGCCTGCTGTGGGGTGGCTTCTGTTAATGATCAACAGACCAAAGGGTACCCTGGGTGCCTCAGGGAGTTGGCCCTGTGCCCTTCTTCCCCCGAGGTCTTCCAACCCTGCACGTAGCCAAGCATTTAATCATGTCTGGCTGGACTGACTGGAATGCCATCTGAGTTCAGGGGGTGAGGTGGTGGGGAGGTCAGAGGGCTCCTGCTGCCCCCTGGCTGCCTTGTACATAGCATTGCTAAGGCCTGAGGGTTCAGAGACCTGCGACCAGAGCAACATTTCAGCCCGTTCTTGAAGTCAGGTCAGCTTTGGGGGCTCCATTCTTGCTAGGTAAAGCTTGGGTTACAGAGAAACCTGGCCCAAGGGCCTGCAATGCTTTGTAGAGGAGTCTGTCTGGGGGAGTAGTCTCTGAAGAGCCAAGCCAGGGACTACCCACCAGCTAGTCAGTGGACAAAGGTACCTCTTCCTTGTATAGGCTGTTTGCACTTGTTTTGAAATGCTGGCAAAGCCTTGGTCTCAAGGTACAGGGCTGAGAGTGACGGCCATACCTGTGCTATCAGCTTGCAGTGCAACAAAAATAAATATTGGCAATTGCCAAACTTGGTGCTGTTTTGTTTTTCTCTACTTGGAGCCGGTAGTCCCCAAGTCCCAGTTAGACCCTAGGGAGCAGGAGCATGACCACTCAGGACAGATTTCATTTCTCCTGCCCTACAGGGGGAAAGGAGCTGCTTTCGAAGTCAGAGAGACCCAGGTTCCAGTTACTCTTTAGCCTCAGTGTCACTCTGTGATCTTAAGTCACAAACTTAGAAAGCAACTTAGGACCCAGTTTTCTTCATCTGTGAAATAAGATGATGATGATAATGATATAATTACACCTGTTTCAATGGACCACCAAACCGTGGCATAGTCACACAGAGGAATACTGTGTGACTACACAGCTCCGTAAAAGAGCAAATGACAATATACGACATAGATGAATTGCCCAAAAAAAAGTTAAATGAAGGAAATCAGTTACAAAAAAGCACATATGGGATTAAGGATGTAGCTCAGTTGGTAGAGTGTTTGGCTAGCAAAGATGAAGCCCTTGGTGTGATTCTCCAGCGCTGCATAAACCAGATGTGGTGGGGTATGCCTGTAAGTCCATTCTTGGATATATAGCAAGTTTGAGGCCCAGCCTCAGCTACAAGAAATCCCATCAGAAAAGAAAAAAGAAGCAAAAGCACATATGGTCTAAGTCTATTTGTATGGAGTTCAAAACCAGGCAAGACTGGTCTATGATGATGACACAGTTCAATGAGAAGCTAGTGTAGGTATGTAAAATTCATTGACCTGTGTGCTGGAGAACTGAGCACTTCACTGATTTGAGTTGAACTTCAAAATGAGGGACCTACAGAGCTGGTATGTGTGTTAAATAATATGGACAAAGAAATAAATAATTCAGTAGCTGACTATAGGGAATTGTGTCTATTTTTTTTGCAACAGTACAACCACAAGTTGTCTGTAGCTCTATAATCACCTTTTTATAGGAGAAGGGGATGGGCTCAGAATAGGAGAGTGACCTGGCTAGGGAGCGTAATGTGAATCCCTACTGCTCCTCAGGTGTTGCCTCTATAGGAAAATTAAGTTGACTGCAAACTGGGTACAAAGGATTTGACTCATCAGTAAATTCAATCATCCACATTAGAAAAAATATTTTCCTCTTTGCAGGTTCAAAATAACTTTCAAAGGTAGGTACCTGTCATGATTTAAAAAAATTCTTTTGAGACAGGCTCTCACTATGTAGCCCTGGCTGATCCAGAACTTGCTATGTAGACCAAGCTGGCCTTGAACTTACAGAAATCTGCCTGCTTCTGCCTTCTGAGTGCAGGAATCAAAGGCATGC